ACAAACCATCGAGTAAGCCCAATCGGAGAGGTTCGTCTAATGCATTTGCATGACTGTCACATCCCATTCATTGCGTATCTTGCTGAAGCCATAGAGCAGTCTTCCGTCTGCACATGCGGCAGCCCATCGAGAGCTTTACGACACGCCTTTGGTCGCATCGCTAGAAGAAGAAAAAACCCGCGACGAAGCTGTTGGTCCCAGGTTGGCCGTGGTCGTCGAAAAATCGCGCCTAAGTGGGTACAAGAGTTAGAAGAACTATTTCGCTGAGATATGAGAGCCAGAAACAAACCTCGCTGCGTAGAAAAAGCTAGCAAAAAATGTTTGACGCCATCGTCAAGAGCTGGAAACGTAGGCGTTTGGCGTTCGCGTTCACGGTGGCGTTCAAGTTCATCTCAGATCCGACTGGACGTTCACATTCGATTGGCCCTGCGGTATCCACCCACGCCCAGCTTGTCCCTGAGAATATTCACATTATTTTGACGAGACTCGATTGTATAGTCCGAATTCAGTAAATTATGGCAAGTTCAATGGTATGCATTTGACCCGGGACTCTCGCTGCTCCAGCATATCAATCCGCATACTTTTAACCTTCTGATGTACAGGTCGCTGAAAAACCGTCACAGCACGGCATAGGCACACAGTTCACATAAAAATTCGAGTCGGGACACGAACAAGAGCATACAGACGCACAAGCATAAACAGGATCAGGCAGAACGAGAGCATGCATCAAAACAACGGAGAGGGAGACGAAAGCCTCCAACAAAGCACCCTGCATCAACCTATTCCAGAGCGTGAGACTAGCGGAGACGCAGCTCCCAGACTTGTCCAGGGCGCGAGCTGTTGGGGAATATCGCAACGCCGGCGAAGTAGTGGTGGCCGTGCAGTACATCCATCCTGAGGACGCCCTTGGCCTTCGCCGTGCGGCGCTCGCTTGGGTCCACGAGAAAGTCGCAGCGCGTCTGGTAATGCAGCTCGCTCTGAACAACCTCTTCGTCCGGGAGCAGAGCGATGTCCGCCGCCGAGAGCGGAGTGATGGCCATCTCGTGGACCGTGTGTAGCACGTCGCCGACGCTCACGAAGGGCGTGACGCGCGGGAGGATAGGGAGCTGCCAGGGGAACAACGGCGACGTGAGGATAATGCTCTGTAGCGCGGGGTATGTCGCCTGATCGCTGAGCCGCTCAGTGACCATGTCAGGGTCCGCGGTGTGTGGCCCGTCTCGGATGTCCCAAGTATAGTCTGGCTTGGACCGGAGGAGAGAGTGGATGACCACTTTCTTGGGGTCAGCGAGGTTGTTGATGGGGGGTATATTGAAATGCTGGTTGCGCCACGAATTCCACTGCTGCTGGTCGAGGTTCATTTCTGCAGAAGGAAGACGAAGGAGTGCAAAAGTGTGAATTCTCTCGAGTTGTAGAGTAAGACAACGAGATTGATGAACTTGATATATATCAGGAGGGCGTTTACGCCGTCGAGGATTGTATTTGAAGCAGCTGTGTCCCAGTATGTTTGCATCCTGGGGTGCGAACAACCATTAATCAGCCAAGGACCGGTGAGGAGCGTACTAGTGCCACCAGAATCATCGCCACATAGACCAGAGAGCTCACGTCGCGCACCAAGAACGAGAAGATAACACATCGCCACAAGCAAAGGTGCTCGTCGCCACAACGCATGAGCAGCCAAAGCAAACGACCTGTGTCAGCGTCAACTTTCTTCCGTTGCCGTGTCCCGGCAATCACAATCTGAGATTCGATTTCATGCTCGTCCATCCTGCACGGGCTGTGCGCTTTGCAAGAAATCTCCCAGCGTCGCTGCACGCCGCATTGGCCGCCACAGGGCAGTGTGCGCACCGTGCACTTCGACATGCTAAAGCGTATCCCTGCGGAGCGGAATAAGAGGGCGCAGCCATGCCCTCACTCCTCATCCAAACATCAAGCCCGTCTTCAGCTTATCCATCGACACCATGGGCCCTAGAGAAAAACGCGTCAGGTTCGTAACCCCCGCCCCCATTCACGTCCCACCAGCCATGACTAGCCAAGCCCCGCCCCCATGGCAAAACTCCCGCTCGCCACAGTACGCCCAGTCATTCGCGCAGGCCCAGCTCTCGCCCCTCCCCTCCCCGGTCTACTGGCAGCCATACGTCCTCGTCCCCCCGCCCGCGTCCATGCACATGTCCGTACCGTCTGCACCGCCCACTCCCTCTGCTAGGCCCGCGCCCGCGTGGGTCCACCCTGCTCTCCATGCGCCACTCCAGCACAATCTCGTTTGGGACATGCGCCTTTCCCCGCCGCCGACCGCCCCCGCGCTGCGCGGCGAGCACGCGACGCACCCCGTTCGTGCGCAGCTCCTCGTAACGTGCGCGTTACTCCCCTGGACGCTCCCCCTCGCTCCCAGCACGCACCTCTTCGTGTCCGCACAGGATGTCTTCGACGCACTATATACCGCGCTGCGCACGCCCGTGCGCCCGGAAGAGATCGACGCGCTCCCGCACAGCCAACGTTCGCGGGTTGGCGCTGCGGGCGAGGCATACAAGGCGCGCTACCGCGCGTGCATCGACCCGGCGCGCCGTGCGCGCGAGAAGGCCGCGGGCATGCGGCGCGTCGACTTCCTCGGAGTGACCTGTCGCTTTGCGGGGCTCGTGTTGGTGGAGGACGTGGGTGTGCTCCGCGGACGGAGCGTCGGCGAGGTGTGGACGCTGCAGGTGATGTGAATAGAGTGTGCATGTTCCAAGGCGGCTAGAGCGATAGAGTTGTTACTGTACAGAGTTATATGTTTGCAGCCAATGCGCATGAATGCTTCGACTGGAACCATCAGGATGGCACATCAACCACCGAGTGCCGCGCACCTGTGCAAATGCATCGACGGATCAAAGAACTCTACGGCTATGTGAAAAGAGAATCAGTATGGTCTTGGGAATCGGACATGGCAGGGAGAACGTGCGAATTGACACGGATACCAGCTCACCAGCGAGAGACGAGTCCAGCCTCCTCTTGCACGACTCGGAGGACATAACGCGACAGCGAGCCTGACATGGCGCGAAAGTGAATCACGTAGCCCATACTCGGAGGAATACACGCGTATCTGGCCTACATGCAGACTGCAGTACGAGATGAGACAGACGCAAGCAGCGAGAGGATATTAAGATTGTCGCACGATGATCCAGCTGTGTGCTGCTTTTCCAGAACGCCCCAACTCAAATGTTAACGGGGACAACTTGAAGCACTACGTTCCTGGCGATACTCACGGTCTGAGTTTATGGGCCAATGAGGTTTCAATATGCATGTCACTCATCTCGCATCAAACAAGTAATCAAAGGTAGCAACGGCATCGCAGTTTTTTACACGACGGCGGATGTTGTACAGGCCCGTGCATAAAGCGTTCGAGCCACTGGAAGCATGCTACATCGGCAGCACACGTGATCTAATCCAAACTTGAAGAAGGCCGTAAGCATTGCGCCGCCTTCACACACAACATTTCCGACGACCCACCTCAAAAATCTGGGCATATATTGTTTGATGCCAGTAGGTCCTTCGCCGCACACCTTCGTCGCGTTCCCAACGAGACAAAGCTTCTCCATATGCTTCAGCGCAGTCTCAACCGATTGAATTGTGTCGGTGTCAGTGCCGTTGCTCCGCATGGTCTCCAAGTTCAACTCGAGCAACGAAGTCGACCTCCTCACTTAGCCAACGAAGGTCCCAGATAGGGAGAGCCTGGTGTACTCCAAGACCGGCTCCCCGACCTTCGTGGTCGCTTCCGCCGATACTGCATCCATGTCCGCGACACTCTGTGTCAGCTGTGCCATTGCCATCTCCGGCTTTTCCCTCGCCACCATCGCCTCATCTTCGCATCTTCGTCGACTGTGACCTGCTCGTCCTCCGTGAGTTCCCAAATGACATTGTAATGGCAGTGCTGTGTGTTTTTCATACCTATGACTAATTCGCGAGTCTTCTTTTTCTTTGCTTCTTCGACGAGATCAAGCTTCTCCATACGCTTCAGTGCCTTCTCAGCCGATTGAATTGTGTCAATGTCGTATTGAATCCTCATTGGCCCATAGGCTCAGGTGGTGAGTATCGCCGGAAACGTAATGCTTGTTGGACCCACGACCCGTTTGAGTTGGGGCGTTCTGAAAAAGCGGTACACACCTGGATGCTACAAGATCATCGAGTGACAAACTCAGCCACAAATCTACCTGTGAGGGTGCTCCTAAGAACGACTCATTCGATTGCGATACACCTATTGTACAATCAATTCACTTCAAGCGCACAAAACCATTCAAGATATATTCGTTGATGGAAAGACGCGGGGCCTGATGTCATCTGCACAATTGAAATTGGACTAAGCACTGGATAGATGATCTAGTGGAGATGGCTCACCAATCAGGTATCAGTCAGTGGGCTCCCAGTTGGTGAGCTCGACGTCAACGTGGTACGAGTCCACATTCTTATACACCCCCTGCTTCAGAAGGTCCTCCGTCTGCCCGTTTGTGTACAACACCCTCTCCTTGTACGAGAACCCAACGTCAAGGAAAGCATTCCTCACGACGACCGTAGCTTGCGCCTTCTTATGCGGAGGTACAGTGACACTGGTCGACTCAGACACCGTCCTCACGACTCCGACGGACCCACCCCACTCATGACTGTACGACGCGGAAACAGAGACGTTCCACTCGACGTCAGCGATGAAGGGCACCCCGGCTTCAAAGGTCGCCGATACTCCGAGCGTGATCCCAGCGGAGTTGTTCCACGTTCCAGACTCGGACTTCGAGTAAGAGAACCCGAGGTCTTGGGTCACGATGGAGTCAGAGTCATTGCGAACGGATGTGCTCAGAACAATCAAGGGAGGCGCCTGGCGCACTTGGGCTCCAGAGATCTCATACTTTACGTCGTACACCTCGTTCTTGATAGCCGCTTGGACGACGTCAAAGCGGGAGGATGCTTTGATGAAATCCCAATAGAGAGGACAGCCAT